GGAAAGGAGTCAGATACCATCGCAACAATGTCTTTTGAGCTAGTTCCCACATGTCCACACATCTAGAGGCCCTCCAGGTTTCCCTGAAGGAGGTCAGCCACTGGGCTTCGGGGATAGAGCCAGCCATATCCCGTTCCCAAGCCAGGAGGGGAGAGCTTTTCTCCAAGTTTAGTTAATTGTGGAAGAGTAGGTAGAACGAGATGCCCCTGGCTTGGGGAGGCCTAGAGGCATAGAAGGAAACTACTTTAACTGGAAGTCTAACGGTTAGATTCTTCCTATGTTGGAGAAAATTGATTATTTGAAGATACCTGTAATATTCTGTCTAAGTCCAAATTGAGTGGAGATGTCCTGGAATCTTTTTATCTCACTTCCCTTCATAATGGCTGACAGTGTCAATGCCACTGTTCCTCCAGGACAGCAGAGAAAGGTCCGGGACCAGAAGTTCCAGGGAGGTCATCGGCACTGGCACAGGCTTCAAGGGAGCGTGAGAGAATGTTGACCCTATTAGTGTTCCCAAAGGCCCCCACCGATGCTCTGATGGGGGGTGATAGCCCCAACATGGGAGCGGATTCCCAGAGACGGGATAGTAGGTATGCGAGTAGGTCTCTACCAGGGACCATTTCCTGTTCTATGTTTAGCCAAAGTTTGTTGCTGGGTGCTGTGAACCAATTTCTGATGTGTGTCAGTAGAGTAGCTAAGTGGTAATCTGCAAAATCTATGTATCCCATACCACCCACCGACCTGTGTTTGATTAGGAGCGAGTGGGCGCTCCTGGCTCTCTTGCCCTGCCACAGTCTTTAAGACAGGATTGTAGGGATCGAAAATACCATCGTGGGATGGTAATAGGCAACGTGCGAAAGAGATACAAAATTTGAAGCAAGAATAGCATCTTAAACAACGCCAATCTCGCAGACCACGACAAAACCTTCCTGCTGAGGTTAGCCAATTCTTTTTTGAGCTTCTCTAGGAATGGGGGGAAGTTGCGGTCAAACAGCTCGGGGGTAGAACTAGTCAGTGTTGACAAATCCCTTTTTGTGCTTACTAGGAACGGGGGGGGGGGGGAAGTTTCGGTCAAACAGCTCAGGAGTAGAACTAGTCAGGGTAACTCCCAAGTATATAATACCTGAAACTGGCCAAATGTAAATCGCTATGTGTTTTTATAGTATCTATGGTCTTGGGGTCCAGGCTCAGAATCTGAGATTTGGTAGCATTCACTTTGTAGTAGGATACATAAGCATATGATTGAATAACACGAGATACGTCTAACAGGGAGGACACCGGATTCGTTAACATGAGGAGAACATCATCAGCAAATAAGTTAATCTTGTGTGAGTGGCGTGAGATGGTGAATCCCGAGATCTGTGGATTAGTTCTAATCTTTTCAGCAAAGGGCTCTATAGACAAGTTAAAGATTAGTGGTGACAAGGGGCATCCCTGTTGGGTACCATTGGTGATGTTAAATGGATCCGACAGAGTGCCGGATGTAAACACTTGGGCGAAAGGGCAAGAGTATAAAGCTAAGATGGACGAAAAGATATGGCCCATAAAACCGAACTTAGCCAACACCTGGCGCAAGTAGAACCAGTGTACCTGGTCGAACGCCTTCTCTGCATCTAACGCCAGGAGCAGAGAAGAGGCCCCGGAAGTCCTTGCCTGGTGAATGATATTGATCACTTGTCTTGTGGCATCCGGAGCTTCGCGAACCTTCTGTGAACCCTGGTCAGGGTTGACCAGTGTCAGAATCACATCAGTGAGCCGTTGAGCTATGAGTTTGGCATACATCTTTAGGTCGCAGTTTAATAGTGAGATAGGGCGAAAATTTTAGGGTGAATCCGGTGTCTTACCTGGTTTGGGGATAGTGACAATGAGGGCCTTTAGCATCTCCGGAGGGAAAGCCTCAGAGGCAGCAGCAGCATCAAACACCTTCAGCATAAATTATTTCAAGGTTGGGTGTCTAAAGATCGAATCCAATTTAGAAAGTGGTCGATCCTCTGCTTACCTTGTCTCTTTGCTCTGGCTCCCATCTGTATGAGAAGTCCCCGGATGACGGCCTTGTGGGCATTCCACAGGGTAAACGGGTCTGTTGAGGTCAGAGCATTAAGGGTAAAAAAAATTATTTTAGACTGTTCGTAAGCTTCAGGACGTTCTTGAGCCTTCGAAGAATAGAGATGTTGTTACGCCACACATATGTCGACTTGGAGGGCAGGTTTCCTGAGATTTGGATGGTAATTGGGGCGTGGTCCGACCACGTAATGTCATGGAGGAGCGTTGCACCCTAGGGAGAACTCCCCGGTCCACTGCGAACAGGTCGATCCTGGAATAGGAGTTATGAGCCGTCGAATGGAAGGTGAAGTCTTTTTCTGAGGCGTGTTGGCAACGCCACACATCAAATAGGTTCTCTGCATGTAGCCAGGTTTATAACGAAGGCAAACTGTGGTGGGTAGTCGATGTGGAGTCTAATTGGCGATCGGGCACAAGGTTGACGTCACCGGCGACAAGGAGAGAGCCCTTCTGTTCGGAAGATGCCTTTTTGAGGACTATTTTCAAGAATCAGAGCTGATGGGTGTTGGGTGAGTATATATTAACAATCGTGTATGGAACTGAGTTAATGGAGCATATCAGTATGATATATCTGCCCGACTCATCGATAATGGAATCAACGAGAAGGAGACCGAGTTCTTGACCGCGATCATTACCCCAGCACTCTTCTGCGGTCCGTTGAAGATTGTAGGAAATAGTCTATGCGAGCATTTTGGGGGCTGAGTGGAACAGAAGTGGGTTTCCTGGATGCATAGGACATCTGCCTCTAAGGATATGGCTTCTTTCCATAGCGACCTCTGTTTGGCCAGGTGGTCCAGGCCCTTGGCGTTCAGAGAGAGCAAGGTAAGACTCATGTTTCAGGGTAGCAGTAGGAATATTAGAGTCAGGCACCTCCTTGCACGCGGGTGTGCTATATGCACCCTTCTCCTTCGCAGTTCAAGGTAGGTGCTGGAGGCGAAGGGATAACTATAACAGCGGTGTAGAGGAACAAAAAAAGCAAAAAAGAGCTTTCGTGATCGGTAGTAGTTTCCTACGGAATGAGAGAGTGTGTTGTGAGAGATCGGCATACAACTGGAGTTTCGCATAGTCCGCAGGTAGAGGAGAGAGCCTGGCAGCCTTCAAGATCTGATCTTTGACGTGATAAAAGTGGATGCGCATCAGAGTGTCTCTTGGCAGGTTGTCAGGTAGGTGGGATGGTTTAGGCAGTCTATGGATACGATCGATGGTGAGATCAGTATCCGGAGCCCCAGGGAGGAGTGGCTTAAAGAGAGTCTGTGCATATCCCGTGAGATCCGATTGCATGATAGACTCAGGGATCCCCTTGATTTTGAGGTTGTTGCGGCGGTTGCGATCTTCCAGATCTGTCAGTTTAGTTTTAAGCCACAATTTTTCCTCGTCTCTCTCATTGTGGGCATCCACCAGTTCATTAACTGTTGAAGCGAAATCCCCCATCTTCTCCTCAATGTGGGAGACCCTCTCCCTCACTTCCTGAATGTCTGCTGTAAATTGTCTTATGTTGCATATCAGAGTGTACAGGTGAAACTTGAATAATTAGAATATCGTGCAAAAGTGATTGCAGTAAGTTCTGCAAAAGGGGCCCAAACCAAGTACTGAGTACATATGCATGCTTGTACTTTTCAGAGGTCCGATATTGTTCTATGTACAATCCTTGTTTTATTGATTGCATGTAATAATCTACTTTTTTGAGGTTGTGGATTTGGGGTTCTTGGGGTTTTCATGAGCTGTAAGCCATAATCAATCACAATTATGACAAATTATCTTGCTTTGCATGTAACGAGGCTATCTCATATATTAGTTTCACCTTTTAAGTTGCATTAGTGAAATAAATGAACTTTGCACGATATTCTAATTATTCGAGTTTCACCTGTATAGTGCTTCTGAGAGATACCAATAAATGAAGCTTTTGCTATACTAAAAGGACTGGTGTGCTGATGTCATTTCTACAATTTTGCTTAGCTCAGTCCAGTCTCTCTTCCAGGGTTCTGACTTAAAACCCTTCCCAGCCCTAGCTGCGGAATATGGTTTGACTGACCGAGATGTTTTTCAGTATAGGAGGATAGTTCATTATCTCAAGTCCTTTCCAATCCACCTATATAACCTTCCACACCTGATCTGGCAATTCTTTTTCTCAGCGACTTCGACGAAACATAGGGCTATTACTTGGTTATATTCCACCCTCCAAAACAAATGTGTTTTCACCAAATCTTGTCCCTTTCTACGCTGAGAGGATGACCTACAGGCTTCGTTCACCCACCAGCAATGGACTTGGGCCATCGCATAAGGCAACTAAAAATGCTGACCTGTGGGAACTCTCTCATAAAATTACACTTCAATGGTATCCGACCCCCCTTAGGCTCAGTAAGATGTTTCAGTCCTCCTCTGCCGTATGCTGGAGACAGAGCGGCCAAATTGGTAGTCTGTATCATGTTCTCTGGTTCTGTCGCTGCCTCCGCAGCTTTTGGTGCCAGGTATTTCAGAGAATTTCTACAGTTACAGGCTTTTTTACACTTCCATCACCCGCTTTGGCCGTACTGCCTATTGACAAATTCCCTCCTCAGTCCCGCACTATTGTATCACATCTTTTGTTAGCTACCCGTTTGACCATTATGCGCCACTGAAAGAGTACCAATTCCCCCAATATCTCAGAAACCTTGTCTATTGTTAATCTGCACTACCAATATGAAAAGATGTTGTCCTTTGCTGATGGTAATAACATACGTTTTGACAATGCATGGAAAATGTGGACTACCTAAAGAGCCTTGTTTTCTATGCTTGGTTTTGTTTTCTTCTTTCTTTTATTATCTATACGCCCTCTTTTTTATTATGTCCTGCTGTTGTATTATTATACGACTGAAAATTCTTAATAAAAACGATTGAACTTAAGTACCTTACACTGAAAAGGATAAAAATTTGCCTTCTTAGAAAAAAACCTTACATACCTCAGCTTTTGACCAAATTTTCCAATCCAACAGCAAATGTTCTAATAACTGAATGTCTTTGATCACAGCAGTAGAATCAAACTTGAGATTAAATTGTCCGTTTTCATTTATGTTGAGCAACCAATCACCAGTACATCCATACAGAAGGGTCTGTAAAAATAAAAGAATAATTAAATAAATTTACATGCAGGTAAAATATTTCACAATTATTTAAAATATTCTTGGATTTATTTTGGCACATCTCTAAATCAACTGGATGGGGCTTTATAAGGTCCAACACCTCTAAAAGTTCTATTAGTGCAGTTATAGAAAAATTAAAAGCTTTAAAAGGTGGGGTTTTATCCAGGGAAATTAAAGAAATCTCCTGTCTGACAACTTTATTGCACACTCAAATCAGTTCCCCAACATCCAAGACCACCCACAGCCTAACAGATAGATGGGTTTAACCGCAAAACACAAACTAAAGCAGAATGCCGACTGCAGCCTACACAACAGAGGTCCAGCGAAGAAGGCATCAGAACAAGCTTCCAATTTTCCAGAGCTCTTTGCAGTGTGAATGTACCTGATCATACTTCACTCAAAATAATGTGGCAAATAGTTAGAGACAAAATCACCCAAGTCTAATTAAAGCTTTCCATGGCATTACTTGGGAGATTACATGGAAATCAGAGAGAGAAATAGGCCAGCAAAGCAAAATTTTAAAGAATTGAAGAGCTGCGTAAGCAAATATATGCACTAAAAGGCAAACACACAAAGGCCTGTTGAATCGATCTTGCAGAAGCAACCTACGTATTTGTGGTGAGCCAGAGAACACAGTGGCCCTCCAGGGATCAATCACTGCCTTATTCCAGGAATACTTTTCTGGCATACTATTGGACAGACTGGATATTGATAGAGTTCACTGTGCACTGGCCCATAAACTGCCTAGCAGACCCCCAGGAGACATGATAGTTACATTCCCTAACTTTTGAATGAAGGAAAAACTCCTGCAAGCAGTCAAGGCAAAAAAATCAGCTTTCGTTTCCAATGCACAGTAACCCGGTATTTGCAGACCTAGCTCAAAGCATGATAATTAATAGTAGAGCCCATTTACCCGTGCCATATCTACAGATTCTTCAGATGCAAGACATAAGGTGCCACCAGGACTTTTCCTTTAACCTCATTCTTACTCACCAAGACCAGCAGTACAGTACCAGACCACTTTGCCTGTTTTTACCAGGAAAAGCGTTGGCCTGTTGATGACCTGCAGAACTTGTCAGACTCCATTCTAACATCTCCACGAGCCCAAGCCAGCACATCTCAAGAGCCAAGAATATCATCTAACATCTGGCTTGGTCGGGTACGCACGGATTACTCTCTGGAGACGATCTCCTCCATCTCCTGAGGAATTACTATTCCTGATACAAGAAGAGGCATTTGTGTGCTGCATGAGTATAAGAACATGTCACATCAATTATGTCTATTATAATTGTCTAGCCTCATACTCTAATTCTGGAATAGTTTATTTGGAGATTGTTTTTGTTTCTTGTTTTTTCTTTCTGAAATGTGCACATATTAATCATGTTTTTAAATATTTTTAATCTTTGTATAATAAAGAATTTCTGTTTTATCATGTTGTAATTTCTTGGTTCTGTCACTTGGTACCTAAAAAGCTCCACTTTTTCTTTCCTGTTTGATTTGATATATATTAGGGGTGTGGTACCTTATATTCAGGATCTGGTCACAATTTGATTTAATTCACAGGGGATGGAAGAATTCACTATGGATATGGCCAGGAACAGCTTTTCTTCATTTGAACAAACCAAGATTACTCCCTCGCAAAAGAAACAAAAGTCCTTTTGAGGGTTCCTCTTGTTGGTTATATGTTTAGATAAAGCACTCCGATCTTGAGGAATGCAGAATTGAGGTTTACTTGCTTAGAATGACTTTACATATACGAATATGGCATTTTGAAGAAAACAGAAAGGAAAATAACTTCCTGTGTTTCATAGATAAGCATGCACACAGACTAGCATTGCACTACAGCGCCATCTACAGTTGAGAGGACATATCAGTACATTACTACAAAATTGACCAGTAGGTCCCAGGTTGTGGAAGCTTGTGCAAGTTTAAGCATATCCTGTTCAGGATCCATGGGTATGGTTAAGAATTCAAGACACTGTCAAGTTTTTCTTTTCAACTTCCAGTCAGTTTAATTCCCATCAGAATTCCTAGGTGTAAGCAAAGCTCTAGGTTCTATGTACACATATCCAAATGGTGTCTTAATCTTTCCTGTGCCCGGACTGCGGTTTTGGAAGATGATTACCCCTTCAGGGAGCCGGCAGACTATCAGATCATCTCACCAGAACTCCCTGCCTCTGCCCCCCAGTCATATCAGCCCTCCACATGTGCGCCTGAACTCACTGGGCCCGGGGGTACAGGCACCATGCAGGGACTCCTCTCCACTAAACAAGACCTGGAGGTCATGGCATCATCTATAGTAGATGCTCTTAAAGAAATACAGGATATTCAACATCATGTTACTGCAGAGGACCAGAGAGTGTCGGTGATAGAAAACACTACTTCTGACTTTACCTCGGCGGGAATCCATCTTTGCGACACAGTTGTCGCCCTCCTTAAACTTTTGAGTAAACCGCCTACGGCCGAACTGGAGATTGACCATGTGCACCAAGTGCAAGGACCCCGCCAGCCGAACTCCTCTCTGCCCCGTGACGTCCTTTACAGAGTAAATTTTTTCAATGTCAAAGAAGAAATCGTTCGTCAAGCCTGGCGAAAGGGACCCCTGGACTTCGATGGCGTCACTGTAGAGGTTCTCCCTGACTTGTTCAGAAACATGCTCCTCCGAACTGGAGATTGACCATGTGCACCAAGTGCAAGGACCCCGCCAGCCGAACTCCTCTCTGCCCCGTGACGTCCTTTACAGAGTAAATTTTTTCAATGTCAAAGAAGAAATCGTTCGTCAAGCCTGGCGAAAGGGACCCCTGGACTTCGATGGCGTCACTGTAGAGCTTCTCCCTGACTTGTTCAGAAACATGCTTCACCCTCTTCTAGACCTGATCCGGGCAGCTAATGCGACTTACAGGTGGGGCCACCCCTTCCACTTAGTGGTGAGACGCAACAACTCCACCTTCCAGGTTCACCCGCCAGCGCAGCTCCCTGCCTGGTTCAGCTTCCTGGAATCGCAACCCATTGTAGTTCCTAACTGGCTGGACTTTCCGGATGACACTCTGGAGCCCACTCCGTATCCCCCCCCCCCTCTATCGAGACCCCGTCCACCTGAGGCTCCAATGCCTGCTCTGGCTGGCCCTGATATATGAGCCTGCAGTGACCTCATCAAGCATTCCCTTTGCTTTCAGGCAAGTTTTACCGCCCTCAATTTGCATCACCTAGGGGCCTTTCTACCTTCTACTTTTCATTACGCATGTCCTGGACCACCCGGAAGACTCTTGGACATTCTTCTGACATTCCCCTGACACCAAAGGCTACCCATTTTGGATACTCCTCCCAGAAATCCGGGACATTAGTGTGAGCTGCCTCAGACCTTGCTAGCCTTCATTTTAGTTCCAGTTATAGGCTTAACATAGCAATATATCTTCACCTGTCTTACAATACTAGGGATAGTTCTGATGTGGGTGTTGGGTTTGATGTCCGGAGACATGGTGGATGCGATGGTGGTTGGTGTCTCAGTACGGCCTGCAAAACAGATATAATACCCAGTGTATGCTCGGAGCCAGGTTACCCCACTCCTCCTCTTACCCAGTTATTAGTACCTAGCCTTTGAATAAATGTTGTCTGTGGCGGCTCCCCCCCCCCCTCCCCCCCCCCCACCGGGGGGGGGGGGGGGTTTTTTGCCCCCCCCCCCCCTCACTCCCCCATACAGGGGTGGGGAGGGAGGGTTGATGGGGCGTGGTGCGCCTGGAACCCCGATTGGGTCCATAGATTGGGATAATAACCATTATGCAGGAGACCCACTTTAAGAGAGGAAGCCTCCCGACCTTTCGTAGTAGGGACTTCCAGGTTGCATATCACTGTACGTCTTCCCTCTCTAAATCCAAAGGTGTAAGTGTGCTTATGGCTAAATTGGTTCCATGGTCTTTTCGTGATCTCCGCCTTGACCCTGAGGGCAGGTACATCCTTGTTAAGGGGACGATTGGAGGCGCCATAGTCACTTTGGCGAACCTACACCTACCCAACTCAGACCAGCTGCCATTCCTACAGAGTACTGTCCCGCTGATTTTAGCTCTTAAGGGCTTGCTCAAGAATTTGCTCTACAGGAAAGTCACTTCATTTTCCCTTAGGATTTACAAAGTGTTGGATATGTTCTTCCTTCTCGACTTTGTCTAGATCACAGTAAAGGTGCCCATACACTGCTCGATTCTCATACGAGAATCGGGCGAAATCCCGCGATCGTACAAGAATCGAGCAGTGTGAACTAAGACGTGCGACCGTTTCTACTGTATGGTCGCACGTCTTGTCGAGCCAACATGTTTGAAAACCCGCCGAGAATCGTACGATTCTCGGCGGGTTTCTAGCCTGCTCGCCCGATAGCTGCGGAACGGGCCGGTGTGCGCACGCGCACACTGCCCGTTCTGCATTGCCGTCATCGGAAGCCCGCCCCTCAGCGGGTAGGGCTTTCGATGATCGCAAGTACGATCTGCCCGTCCAAGGTGGGCAGATCGTACGGGCTTTCAAGAAGCATACGACCATCGCAAGACAAAAGTCTTGCGATGGTCATAAGGTGTATGGGCACCTTTAATCAGATGGACAGTAACATGTAAAATAGTTTTTCTTACAGCAATCCCCTCAGGGAGGAGGGTCTTGGATATTCGAGCTTAGGCTGCAAACCACCTTATTGCTACCATTTCACAGACTGTGAAATCCTACATCTCTCTCCCCGCATAATCCAAAGGATGGAAGATCCTTTAATCTACATAGAACATCAATGTTGCCAATATTCAAGAATAAAGTTTTGTTTTAGCTCATGCCTTCAATGTGGCTGCTGTGCTGAGAAAGTACATTGGGGTCACGTTCTTTTAGGTTGATCTGTTTATCTTTCCGGCGGTATCAGAAAGGGGCTCTCTGCATTCACTAGTTCACATGCATTATGGCTGGTCAAGCAGATGGAGCCACAGATCAATCTCTGGGTTCAA